TTTCTGTCCCCTATTTTCCACTCGCAATCATGTACTTAGGTACCTTTTGACCCCATGGAAAAAAAATATCTAACATTCAGAACTACCAATAACAGGAAGAAGAGAAAAAACTTTTTTTGAGAATGAAATGCTTCCCACCATAATGGACTCTTAAACACGTTCTCCACGTATGCGGCATGCTAGCTGGATATCTTTTGGCATAATTGTTACACGTTTGGCATGGATGGCACACAGATTGGTATCTTCAGACAGGCCAACCAGGTAGGCCTCACTTGCCTCCTGCAAAGCACCAATAGCTGCACTCTGGAAGCGCAGATCTGTTTTGAAGTCCTGAGCAATTTCTCGCACCAGACGCTGGAAAGGGAGTTTGCGAATCAGAAGTTCAGTGGACTTCTGATAACGTCTAATTTCACGGAGCGCCACAGTCCCAGGCCTGTAACGATGAGGTTTCTTCACCCCTCCAGTAGAGGGCGCACTCTTGCGAGCGGTTTTTGTAGCCAGTTGTTTCCTGGGTGCTTTACCACCATTGGATTTGCGGGCAGTCTGCTTTGTACGAGCCAAGGTACAGGGACCTCCTTATCCGCTTCTCCCTCGGCTGGAGCTCGGCGAGCTGGAGGCGGCGCTGGCATTGGAGAGGGGCGCCGGCTGCAAACACAATACTACATGCACATTCTTAAGTGGACTTTGTTTTTTTCTTTTCCTCTTGTCCTTATCTCTAGAATTTATGGGTTGGTTAGAAGGGACTTTATGTGCAAGGTCAAGTTAGCAATTAAGTAAAGGGATATGTGTGTATTTAGTGCAGTGACATAATGAGAGAAATATATATATGTGTGTGTGTGTGGACGTCTGTGAATATGTATTTTATGTCCTAAATAAGAGTTTTCACTGGGGGGAGGGTGGCAGCACATGCCTGTAATTTCAGAACTTGGGAGGCTGAGGCAGGAGGATTACTGTAAGTTTGAGGCCAGCCTGGGCTACATAGTGAGTTCAGAGCCAGCCTGAACTATACAGTGAGACCTTGTCTCAACAAAACAAAAAAAAATTTTTTTTGTTATGTAGCTCCCTCTTTGTTTTGTCTCTTTTGTATTTGGCTGAAGGTGGGGAGGGGCAGCCAACTTTAGCTAGGGCACCTGGTGCCTGCCTGAGCTTAGTTCTGTTTATCAGCTCTCTCACTTATCTTCTTTTTTCTTTTCCTTTCTTTTTTTTGGTACCAGGGATTGAACTCAGGACCTTGTGCTTGCCAGGCAGGCACAGTGCCACTGAGCTACATCCCTGGCCCTCACTTATCTTCTTAATTGCTCCCTCCAGCCAGGGTTTAACTCTTTTTAGTCAGGATTTGCCAGAAAGCTTACTGAGGCCTTGTCCTATTCTTTCCCTATCTATGAACCCCTTTTCCTACACTGCAATATCCTGTACTCTCTATTGCAGACTGATTTAGTCCTTGTCCTCCTATATCAGGCATACGAATGTGTTATCCTCTCTGCTACAGTCATATGCACACCCTGTTCTCTATGCTGCAGACATATAGATCCCCTCTCCACCTACTGCAGGCATGCACAACCCCTTTTCTCTCTACTGAGACATATGCACTCCATTCTACTACTTCAGATGTGTACATCCAATTTCTAATTGATACAGGAGATGAAATATGAAAAGATTATATCTTCTAACTTGTTGAATGTCTGATATGCTGAGTTCATGGTCTCTAAAAAGCAAAGAATGAATTCTAGGAACAATGGAGGTTAAGAGTAGAAAATAATTATTGATAGCATAGGTCCTGAGAGGCAGGAAGGGTCCCAAATGGGTAGCTGAGCACCCCACTTTACAGGGAAGTTTTATAGAGCAAAACCCACATGGGTGCAACATGGATTACAGCTGTGAGTAACCAAGGTTATAAGTATAGGGAGGGCTTTGTTACATCACACAGCAGCCTCCTACAGCTGCATGGAAGCAGGGTGGAGCAGCGAAGAAAGGCATGGGCCCATGGACTCCACTTTGTTTAAAAATTTTTTTTCATTTTTAAAAATCTTTTTTTCCCATTCCCTGTCCATCCTTTCAACCCTTTTGCCCTTCCCCATTTATAAAAGCTTTGTTTCTATTTTCCCCTTCCATTCTCTTTTTTAAAAATCCCTTTTCTCTTCCTTCCCTTCACCCTTCCTTGTTCCTCTTCCCATCTGAACATGTTCTTCCTACTTCGCAATATCTGTCCTCCATTTTGCTCCTTATTTACCCTTTGGATTTCTCACACAAGAGAAACAGTGCAATATTTAAACTTGTGTGTCTGATTTATTTCACTTAAAATTATGTTCTCAAGGTGCATCCATTTACCTAAAAATGACTCAAGTTTATCCTCTATGGTACAGTAGTATTCCATTGTATATAAATACCCCATTTTAAAAATCCATTCATCTGGCACTGGGGATTTAGCTCAATGGTTCCACCACCTGCCTCACAAGTGCAAGGTCCTGAGTTTGATCCTTGGTACCAAAAAAAAAAAAATCCATTCATCTGTTGATGGGCATCTAGGCTGTTTCCAAGATTTAGCTATTACAAATTATGCTGCTATAAATATGAATATGTATATACCACTATAGTATGATGCTTTGAGACTTTCCAGGAAATACCTAGAAAGGGAATAGCTGGGTCAAATGGAACCTCTACTTTAAGTTTTTTGAAGAATCTCCATACTGATTTCCATAGTGATTGTACCAATTTACACTCCCACCAACAATGGAGAAGGGTTCCTTTCCTCCCACAGCCTTGCCAGTATTTGTTATTGGTTGACTTCTTGATGACAGCCATTCTTTCTGGAATCTCAGTGTTGTTTTAATTTACATTTCTTGAATGATCAGTGATGTTGAAGATTTTTTCATATATTTATTTGTTTGTACTTTTTCATCTGAGAAGTATCTATTTCATATGCCCATTTTTGGATTGTGTCTTTAATTTTTTTGGAGGGGTCTGATTTTTTTTTAGTTCTTTATATATTCTAAATATTAGTCCTTTGTCTGAAGAATAGCTGGTAGAATTTTTTTCCCGTTCTGTAGATTGTCTCTTCACTCTGTTAATGGTTTCTTTTGCTGTGCAAAAGCTTGGTATATGATGTGATTTTTACTGCAGTGGGTGTGGCAAGGATTACTGTGAGGAGGCCTTTCCATTTTGGCATTAATTGGTCAGTGGGTGTCCCCTCTCTCCAAGTTTTTATGAGCACTTGGTTTGCAGTATAAACAGTAGGTGGTACTCCTGGGCCAGGAGCTGGCAGAACTCTGTCCTCATATATTTGAATAGCCTGTTTTTTGTGGCTCTGATTAATGTGATATTATAATAACCTCATGGTCTCTGAGTCTACAATCACATCAGAAGATATAAATGGTTTCCCATGTTACATCTCAAAAGAGCTCAAACTTAGCCCAGTTTGGGGCATGTTGCAAACTCTCATCAGTGCTATTGGCAGCAATTGGAGCCAGGACTGAGATATTTCTTGGCAGTTTTGCCAGAGCTCAATTTAGGGTCAGGCTCTCTCTACCTTTTCAGAAGATTGAGGCTGCCAGAGGAATGGAGGTGATACTTTATTCCTAAAGCCCTTACTATTCCCTGAGATTTTTGCGAGGTAAAAGAAGGTCCATTATCACTCTGGAGGGACCAGGGTCATCCAAATCGAGGGATAATTTGTGTGTGTGTGTGTGTGTGTGTGTGTGAGAGAGAGAGAGAGAGAGAGAGAGAGAGAGAGAGAGAGTCTTGCTATG